AGGTCTGCCTGGCGATCCGACCAAATTGCGAAAACAAAGTCGAACTAACACTACAAGGCTAAAGGAAATTGCGACTAAGCACAAGGCCACATAATCTTGGTCTTGATATCTACGACAAAATAATTCTGTCATGCAACAACGATTAAGAGAAAATATCCTGATATTTATTAAATATAAAAAAATAATGAAATATTATCCGGTTCTCCGCTCCCGTTTCCTGAAATTCAAAAAACAAGGAAGCGGTAATAGAAATAGCAACTTTAATAATGAAAGCAAAGAAAATCTAACAAAACGCATTAGCTTTATTACCATTAGTCGCTCAAGGAGAATACTATCACGATACACACAAATAAGAATTCATATGAGAAACGATTATATACAACCCATATACAGAAATCAACAAGGCTAAAGCTATTTTAGCTTTCATTTCATTTCATACGACATAATGCGACTTGGAATGACCAATCTCTTAGATTCTCTTCGGTTTTAGGTTTGTAAAAATCCGGACAATTGTAATATAGAGCCTTTTACGGAAAATATTTTTGAATTTAAATCGAAATAGACCTTGTTTTCGCAACATGGTCATATTGGTAGAAAGACTTATTGGAACGCACCTAGTCCGAGGTCCATTGTCTGCATGATAATTTCCAAAGTTGAACCGTAGCCTTTATGAATTGTTGCAAACATTATGGTATCGCTGCCCGATTTTGCAATTTAATGAGGAAGTGTCATTCGGACACAGTTAATGAAATTCTTTATCACGCTTCCATGCAGAAATTAGAGGAAAGTTACGAGACTGAGAGGCGTAAGCTATTTAAGTTCATAGATCTTAAGTCTAGATTGAGGAAGGATTTAGGTAGGGTTCTCGCTTTGGATGATTTTCAAAAACTCCAGAGCATGACCGACCAGAAGTCACATAGGGTCAGGGATCTGATAAATAAGCGACATGACAAGAAATTGTTAAGCTATGGGATAATATGACAACGCAAGACCAAGACGAAGGCATCAACTGTAACAGATGAAGATAAGACAAAGGTTGTAAACCTTTCTTCAATCCCCCTTGATTCTGAAACGACGGATCTCTTAAAGAAGGGGTTACATTTCTCACCAGGTAATGAAAGAAATATTCTTAGTCATATCCTGGTGGAAGTTGTCAACATAACTGATAAATTTCCAGAAGATACAAGGCAGGAGATGGAACTGGAAATAATCCCAAGGATCCTGACACATCAAAAACCGATAAAATGGAGCAGATTGGCTGTTATTCGGAAGAAATTACAAATAAATAATCAAATAGTTCTTCAGGCAGATAAGGGAGGAGCGAGGGTTGTAATAGACAGGAAACATTACACGAAGAAAATGGAAAGTATCCTAGGCGATCAAAACACCTATCAAATACTAAGTAAGGATCCAACCACTCGGGATACTGAAGAATATGCTCAAGGAAATGCATACAAATGGGGAAATTGACAGATGGATGATGAAATCTCTAAACAAAACTGACGCAAGACCACCGACAGCCTACGGACTATCGAAGATACACAAGGAAGGAAATCCTCTAAGACTAATAGTCAACAACAAGCATGGAGCAATACATAAGCTGGTGAAATTCATTTGCTTGAAGCTCAAGAAAGTAAATGATAGATTCTTGAATACCGTTAAGAATTCTTATGAATTTTCTCAAT